ATTCGCGCATGTATTATAAACGTGGTGGTTAATGTCGCGTGTGCGCCCTACAATATCCCTCTTTCTTGCTTCGGAATTATGAAACGTAATTTAAAGCGCACCACCACGGGGATCAGCTCGCGGTCACTATAACGCCCTCTCCGCAACCTCGTCGCAAAGCCGATCCCTCCCTGGCCCTCCGCCGTCACCTCCGTACGAGGTGGAGAAATCTGAGCGACCGCGTACGTACGCCCTTTTGAAATTCACGGCTTGTCGGATTCAGTGTTGACTCATTTACAATGTGGCTGGCTAATGTCGCCGCGGTGACACCGCCGGGCAGGGCACGCGAAATGCTAATCCGCGCACGTTGATTCGTCGCGGCCAACGAATTGCCTCGCGCGCTCGTTTCCCTAAGAAACTTAACCGCCACCGCCAGCTAATTCGCAACTGTCCTGGCGTCACCGGGACGAGACCGCAGAACGACGGTAGAGGAAGGTCGCCGCGTTAGCCACTTAAAATTACCCGCTGGAAATAACCTCTGAATTATTTACTCGGAAATATTGTGGACGCAGCTGAAAGTCGGCCGAGGGCCCTCCTACGACCCCGTCCGACCGAGCGCGAGCGCGCGAACGTCGGTTCAAATTTTCACACTCTCTGGGCAAGCCCCTCGCCACTTACGTCCGCGGTGTGCACATCGTTACAATTATGCGCATAATGTTTATAAATGCCGCCGAGGTATCGCGAGCGCGCGCGTGAAGCGCGAATACCGTTGTATGCCGTGGCTTTTATTTATTCGCCGGCTTTTGTCCGCTCCATTCTTCCTTACTCTCTAAAGCGCAATCAGTGTATTATCACTGAAAAGCAGTCAATAGTCACTACTGGCCATAGTTATAAATATAACACCGTAAAAATACTCGGTAAAATTTCGCTGAAAATATCTGTTAAAAACAGCGGCAACTTTTTCCATCGGGAAAATCTGACTGCGGAGAAACAATGAAAAAAGTTATTATTTGTTACTTCTTTAAATTATTTTAATCACTCTTAAAGTTCTCGTGGAAAAATTACCAAATCACCATCTTACTCCCCTCTGCCTTATTCTGCCGCGGGACGCAGCGATATGCGGTGAATCTTTAACTGTCTAAAATTAATGAGGGATAAGGCAGGAGAGCTGAGTGGAAGTATTTCCGTTAAAAATGAGCGAATATTCACTGATTATCGGTATACCGTCTTCCCGATTCAACCAATGACATTTTCACTGATCCGATTTAATACATTGTCTAGGAGCGCGTTTGATCGTGTTAGAGCGCCGCCGATGGGGAATTAAATTCGGTGAAGCGCGCACGCGCGGTGCCTTAATAGTTTTGGGAAAATCGACTTTCGCACGTACTCGAATTTCACCGAGTATTCGCCAAGTGCGCTCGCGATTACACCGGTGCACGAGTTGCGGCCGCTTCGCGTTAGTTTGGTGACTGATTTATAAGTAGCTGCTGCACAATCAATCGAGTGGAACGCCCTATTTGGAACTTGGCGCATAAAGGTCAACCTTGTTTCCATTTCTGAATTATGTATGGGAAGGTGCTGTGTACACGTCATGAATGATATATATATATTACTACCCAGACGCTCTGCGAGCGTGTTGCTAATATTACTGCAGTTATGCTTGACTCGTACTAATCCAAATATCCCTTGTGACGCGTTTATATTTGTCAAACACTACAGTATGACGTATCCGCGCGGCGTTTAGCCGTACGGTCCGATGAATATTTCAATCGGGTTAAACCCGAAGCTGAGAAATAGGCGTAACATTCGCTGAGAACGTCTTATCTACAGGTACTTAATAATAGTTTCGAATTATTCTACCGAAAGTTCTTGCAACATTTAAGCTCGGTCGAGAGAGCTTTCTAAAAGCACTCGACCTGTTCCCATTTAGTCGGATCTCTTCGCCGCACCGTAAGTCCGTACATAACTCAATGTGCTCCTTTTTTCTCAGCTGTACCTCGGCTTTAATTTATGCGAAATAGCAAAATCTTTCTTTCTCTTTTAACGGAGAAGCGAATCACCGTGTCGATAAAATCGATTGTCAGACGAGTTGTTCGAAAAATTGGAGATTGCGCAGGACTGAAATCCAGTATAAGCGCGTAGGAATAGGAATGTTAAATTCAATATTCGTTCGGGTTAACGCAAGATAGAGCGCTACAGAGAGAGCAAAGTGCAAACTCTGTCCAATTATTTGCACAGTCGCTACTTGTAACTGTAAGATACGATCATGTTTGATAAATCGTGATATCTACGGGCGACAGAGCGGCGGAAAGAGCGAGACAGAACGATTCGCTTTGTCAAGCAATCTCGGTAAGTAAATTTCGGCTTGAATATTGCGAGATGTCCGTTGGATTGTTCAGTTAGGACTATGCTATATTTATGAAATTTTGTCGCGAATGTCACGTCGTATTGACTGCGCAGAATAAAAATGCTTTTACACGGTGAATGTGGCGTGCTGAAATAAATTGCATCATCGTTCAGTATGCGATGAGAACGATTGAAAATTTCCAAACTGACATCTCCAACTGCCAGCGTAATTATTTATCTGATACAGAAATTCTGCAGCTTGTATATATCGAATTGTCTTAGGACAATTTCAAAGAACATCTTTGTTCCTTTCCAACCAAATTTAAAACCCAGAAACAAATACAATAAGTTTGCGGAATAATTCTTACATATCTTGATAGATTTCTTTCCTTTAAATATGGTAAAACAGAGTATCGCACACTCATCCGTTCGCACTTATATCACACTTATATTTACGGATGACCTATATATGTATATAAAAAATACAAAGTCGAATCGACAAAAAGTAGTGTGATCGTGTCAGTATTTATGTAATATAACATTTGAGAATTGCCGCTATCAAGTTCGCTTATCGAGTTCGTCATCGATTTTGGTATCCCCTCAAGGATAAAGTATGATCGTAATCCGCGAAAACCGCTCGCTCGCATTACCTTCATCTCCACGGAAAACTTCGAACGGAAGAGTCCGGCCCTCCAGTCATGCGCGACTTTCGTCATGCATGACTGTTAACGGCGAGTTGAACGGCGTCGAAGGAGTTTCGGCGTTCCCGCGACTCCCCACATTCAGGGAAGTTCGGGCAGAACCAATATCTCTCGCACGGTGACAAATGTCATTGAGCTCTCAGTGTTTCCCACCGTCCTACGTTTCGTCGAAGTTCGCGGCGGACGTTAAGTTCGGCGAGAGAGCGGCAAGATTGTCCGCGCGGCGTCTCGTCCCCGCGACGGGAAAACGACCCGCGGTAAATAACATCCCTCTTGTCTGGGCGCGGAACACCGGGAAACTTTATGGCGGGGAAAATCGTTTAATTTACTTAGAATTCCACGGCGTTCTCGAAGAAACGCATCCAGGAGCCGCGACAGTGATGAAGCTGGTGAGCCGTGGGACCGCTCGCAGGCGCAGATTACACGAAATTACGACCGCGTCTCAATTTTTTACACCGTAATTGTCCGATGCTAACGCGATTTCTCCCGCGAATTTCTCACCACGTTTTCCTGATAATTTCCTGGGAGAAGGAATATCGGGGTTAGAATGTTACCAGGGGAAAATGTGTACCGTTCCGTGAAAAAAAAAAAGGAAAAAGAAAGAAGGTAACGCGCGCGAGTAATATTTCGATGGAGAGGCGACGTTCGGTAAATGTTCGTTGGAGATCGATATTTCTTGAAAACCAGCCGGTATCAACTATCGCTGACTCGTTCACCAGTTGCCCCGATCCAATTTGCTCCCGATTGAAATTGAAATTCTCCGTCTGAGAGCGTTGCGGGTTAACTGCTCGGAACGATTCGAGAATATGTCTCGTCAGGTACTTCTCATTTTTTTTTCTTACCATCATATATACCCCCGACGAATATAACCTTCGCTAATGCTGGGATTTAACGCCGGCAATAATTCACGCTCAATACGCGTCATCTCTGCTACTCGAAGGTGGATTTTGTTGCCCGCGTGAATAAAAAAACGATAAATTGTTTTCCCATTGTGCGCTGTATAAATTATTCGTCGCCGGTGTATCCGCGCATGAGTCTCCCGCGATGCCCCGATTATCAATTATATTCGCGACGCAACGTCGCCGAGGGGAATTAAAAGGGAGAGAAGGAGACGGGGCGAGCGGTGCGCGAAATCGTGAAAAATGATGCTGCGCGGTATATTCTAATGCAGATTCCTCGCCGCCGCACGCTAGCACCGGCCCTGCGCGAACCGAACATTCACCTCCTCGACGCGTAATTCCATTCCTCCTCCGACAACATGTTTATCATGATATGTACGTATTGTACGTCTGAAGGATATTCAGAAATATGCGAGAGGAACTCGGAGGTATTTTGAAAAGCTTTCTTGATCACACACTCGGTATTCTTCCAATATACACGTAAACGGAGAATCGAGATGCTGGAATAGCGCATGAATTATTTAAGTTGTCGAGTAGAAGTCGAGTAGAAATTCGCTGAACGAACTGAGATAAAAATGCGCTCCATACGTCGCGACTTTCTCATTGCAAAAGCGACCTACTTGTAAATCGAGATGTTGAAAAGCTATAAACCGAAAATAAATACACGCCGCGAATGTGCGCGAGATTGACGCGCTTTAAAACGGCGATTTATAAAATTCACGTCACGTACAGACGAGCGAATGTCTCTCCTTCTCTCTTGGCAGCTAAATACAACCGTGCGCATAGTGAAATTACGAGTATACTTTTAGCCGTTGGGAAACGCGCCTCAATCGTTAATCATTTCTCCGTTATTATATTAACTGTATTATTCAACTCGCTCGAGGAAGGCCCTAAAACAATGCGCTTCGAGAACGGAGGTAATCAATCTTACTTTAGCCTGAGTATCGTATATTAGCGCGGCTTGCCCACATTGTATTCACCTACCGCGGAATTGAACTAATTGCAATTAATAACTCCTCGTGAATACGTCGAGCACTCATTCTCTCTCTCTCTCTCTCCCTCCCTCTGATTGCAGGCATCAGTTCTACTTGCACTCGCGCCTCGAGTTGGTCGAGGGTAGGTTGAAAGTCTCAGATTGGGGCTCAGTGGCCCGTTTGGTCGCCCTGATAGCGCAGGCCGATGGAGGTGATTACGATGCACTATCACCGCCGCATGCACTTTACTCTCAGTGCTGTCATATACAACCCACGGAGCCATGCGAGCCGAAACCTCAAGACTTTCTACTTCGGATAATTCAACAGCACAAGGAAATCAAGGTGTGTAGCGCTTCCAGAGATAATTATTATAAGTTTTCGCGCTCTCTCTCTCTCTCTCTCCTTCAATCTGACCTTAAGGTAATTGGCCTGTAAATTAATTTTCTTAAGAATCGTGTTAAAGTTGAACAATATATTAATCGAAACACGATTTACATACATATAAAATTAGAAGAAGATTGACGATACCGAGATTGAGATAATTGAAATCAATGTTAGGCCTATTTACACATATCACGAAAACAGCTTCCGATATTACAATTTTTAACTCTAGCGATTGAGCTATTTTGACGGTTTTAGTAAAAAAACAAGGAAACGATAAAAAAGACTTGTAGAAATTTTATAGAAAAATAGAGCAAAGTTTCATCTTTCCAACGATGTAAATTTCTATGAGAATAAACAATGTTGTCTATTTGTAAAATTGATGGGAACCTTATTTCTGGATCAACCCTCGTATCATAAATCATGTTCCTAATTTAGCACAAATTTTTCGAGCTTTTTCGTATTGTATTAATAATTACTTTTCTAACAATATTTTCACGAACCAACCGTCTTAACCCTTTTAGTGCCGAACAACGATATATCATCGTTCGCAACACTTGCGAAAAATGCCAACGACGATATATCGTCGCGTATCCGAGGGCGTCTTACTATTCGCATTGCGAGTGTGTGCATATGATTTTCAACAAATATTGAAATACAACTGGCATTACTTTATTCTTTCTTCATTTCGTAATATGCTGCTTTTTGAATTTTGTAAATATCATTTTTAGTTTGGTTTTTATGAGCTTTTTCCCAAATCTGAGCAAATTCGTCAAATTGACTCGGTATTCTTCGCATAGGTACGATACTTTTGCTCGGCATTAAAAGGGTTAATTGAGCTTTTTCTATTGCTCTACTTTTCCAAGAATTTCTTGTTTCGGTATCTTTATCTGACGCGAATATTCGTGTATTTGCTTTTGCAAAATGTACGCGAGATTTCGCGGACAATTTTATCCCCAGCTATAAAACATATTTTTTGGAATAAATTTTAAAAGAATGAACTTTTCTTACTTTATTGTGTGAATACGATTGCGGCTGAAATGTATCACACATACGTCTAGCGTGATTAACAAGGATGCGTACAAATTTCAGGGGATGAAAACATCGACCGCGGAATACTGGCTTTTGAAAGAAATATCGAACCTCGACACTTTTGGACAGGAAATGTTTCACAGTAAATTCGGACAGTACAACGGAGTGTCTGTGATCGGCGTCGGTCCACATGGAATTACGGTCTACCGCAGTCAGGATGAAGAGACACAAAAGTAATTATCGCATTAATGTATACCCACGAAGTATAATCTGTATCTATATCAAAAGACGATCCCTTCAATCTAATGCAATTTATTTATAAATTATTTTTAACTGTTAAATACAATTGAATTCGATATTTCAAACTTCACGTGTTGTGCATTCTGCCAAGTTTAATTTTACAACAGAGTTGGGCGAAAAAAACATATGTCTCAGATCAAAGAATAGTGTCATTAACCGAACATCTTTGCACATACTGACCACCCATTTTAATTAATATCGTGTTGTAAAATTTCGCACTTATCAACACGATACTGCGAGCCGCTTTAATGTCGCTCGTCGACGATAGGAGACGGCACGTGCCGGCCGCCGCACTGTACCGTTCGTCGAGATGATCGCACAGCAGATTACCCGTTGACTAAACTTTGTTACGAGTTCGTGACTATCCGCGTTTGAAACAAAAAACGGTAAAACAGCGCCTATCAATAGTCGTCGCAAGCGAAACGCATGCGGAATGTTTACGTGCGACTGAATCTCGTAGGCTTTCCTAAGCTGTCCCGCCTTGTCCATTATGCGGCAGAAAATTAGCATAAAAATTTTGGTTTACCTTCAGCCCGTGTGGTGCGGTTTATTATACGATGTATTATGTATTGCGTTACAGCATACCATACACAGCTATACAAAGCGCGACGTCACAACGGCGGATGTTCCACTTGGTTTACCTGTCACTCGACGGCGAGGAGACATCGTTGGACTTTAAATTAGACTCGAGTCAGTCTGCCAGCGGACTTTACAGAGCGATCACCGAGAAACACGCGTTTTACAGTTGCGAGACGGTCAGAAGCGCAGTCACCGCGCAGTTTATCCGCGACTTAAAGGTATACCTGGGGGGTGAATTTAGTTTCTATTGCATTGCAAACACCGGAGATCGACGCATGCACGAATCGCGCTTCCATTATTTGAACAAGGTTCGAACAACATATTGAAGATTATATTTAGTTCCTTGTTACTGTCGAGTGTCTAAAGCGATAAATCGATAAACCGATAAACGTCACTGCTGCTTTCTCCAGGGGACAATAATTTCCATCTTCAACGAGGACTCGACATTGGGAAAGAAGTACGTGTTCGACATACGCAGAACCTGCAGGGAGGTCTACGACAATGCGCGACGTGCCCTCTATTGCGAGGCGGCGACCATAGTGCTACCTGAAGAGAACGAAATACTGGATAGGCATGCCTGCGGCGAGTGCGAGAACCCCAAATGCAAGGTAAGATATAGGTGATAAATTTGAAATGATAGCTTTTTCTACACAAGTTGAATGCCGTGGCGGTCACCACAGTGACCGGCAATATTACACTACCGTGGCTCATTAAGTTACATATAAAGTATGAATTGCATCTACCAAATTGTTTGCACAGTTAATAAAACGAGGTAAAACGAGGTAAAAGATATGTATATATGAAATCACATTATTACATACTGTAGAGGAAAAGCATTAAAACACCGACGTACCATTTTGTTTTTGAGCTCTAAGGCCCTGTTGAAGATGGAAAATTAAAATTGATGTGCAAGGATGTGCAAACTAGCAACACTGCATCAAAATATATGACGGTCTTATGAAAATTATTATATATTTCTTTGTCAGTAACTATTTTTTAAAGATGTTTGAGGATTGACGCTTTTAGAAACTCGAAAAGTACTCAATGAAGAAACATTTCATTATAGTGTTTTGGAAAGCTCTCAAGGTCAGCTACAAGAATATGTAATAAAAAATAGAGGATGCCATTTAAAAAAATTGAGGTGACCTTCATGTGACTTTCAAATAATTCTTCAAGGTCAAACCAATGGTACCGTCTTATGGTTCCCTCGAAACCAAACAACTTTTGTCTGAAAAATTTTTCTCTCCCGGGCTTGGTTTTCGAAATATTCGACTGGGTCGATTAAAATGGCCCACCTTGTATATCCTTATATATGTTACCTTTAATCTTACATATTTTTTAAAACTTAAAAAATTTTTTAAAGGAAAGGAATTTTCTGACTTCTTTTCATCTTAAATGAACAAACAAGAAAAAAAAGGAAAAATCAATCACTTAGATAGGTAGGGAAGGGGATATCAACTCTATTCTGTAAAATGATATTTGACAGCAAAGTTCAAGTATGTAAGTTGAAAGATCAATAAATTCAAGTATACAGAACAACCTAACTCTAACTTCTCTTGCATGGTTTAGTGACAGAGGATTGAGATTGGCATAAGATCCAAAGTTTAAACAATTCAATATAATTAGTTTAAACAATTCAAAACTCATAATACCCAGCGAAAAATGAACATCGAATCGGTGTCACAATCGATGTTGTTTCGATGTAATTTCGGTTCTTTCGACGTCAATTCGATGATTTGTCTCTCATTGGGTATAAAATAATATTGTGAAATAAATTACTTGCCGCAGGTTTTTTTACTTTAATTTTCACAAAAAAATAATTCAACAAAAACTTCAACGTAACGAAAAATCAAACGACGCTGACAACCAAACGCGCTTGCAAACGGAAACTGTCACTTCAGCTTTAATTATTATAAACGATGGACGAAATTCATGTTCTGCCCGACAGAGTTCAATATTCTATGACTGAGAAACATGACTCAAAATTACCATGTCTATGTCAGTTTTCCTCTACTGCTTTTCCTCTACTTTTAATATTTCACTTATCAATTCGACTTTTGTGCAATCAATTTAAATCAGCCTAGCAGCCGACGTGTTAAAATAATGAATTGATCTCTGCTGTACAATGGAAAGATTTTTCTCCCGTTGAAATAGACTCGATATCGCGGTAACATCCAGAACAATCTGCCGTAACGGATCGCGTTACATTTCAGGAATCACGAGAATGCCTGGCGAGATTATTGGATGCGATGCTTTGCCGGATCTGCATGGATCGAAGCTTGGACACCGCCTTGTTTCCCTGTGGACATGCTGTAGCCTGTTTGGACTGCGCTCGTCGCTGCGAGCGTTGCCCATTATGCCGGGCCAACATCGACTATTGCCGAACGATATACCTCCCGATCGAGCTGACGCACATTGACAAGCACAATCCCAAGCTATTGTCGGAAACAATCGAGCCTGTATTTAGCAAGCCGCTGGCCGAACAAATAAAGGAACGCATTTTGGGCGGCGAGACGCCGGTGAATAATAACATTTGAGAACGTCGCGTTATGCGCAGACTGGGCGCGTTCGAGAAATTCTTCAGGATTGTTACTTGTCGCGCAGGAAAGGCGTATTGAAGTGTGAAGCAATTTTTTTCTATCTATCTTTTTTTTTATCTTCCCGCCGAGAACGAATCGAGCGCGTCGAAGGCCTTTGATTTCGCGCAATGACGATTTTTTCACATGCAATCCCGTGTACTTTGATATTATTCCGCGTTATTTTATTCCTTTTCATCTTTTTTAGTATTTTTATTTTACTTTTCTTCATTCGCACAAATTTAATTCAATGGAGGAATGATTCGGAGATATACAATGTCAAAATAATTTCCCCTCTTTCGATTGCCGCAGGTAAGCTTTTATCGATATCAGCTAAATAGTTAAACATGCGCTTATGATGTAACACTATTATTGTGCTTGCGCATAGACAGGATTGCAAGTTATTTTACGGTATATTGTTTTGCACAACGTATTTTAACATCGCTTCAGCAGAGATCGATAAAATTATGAAGGAGAACTCTACTTGGTTCTCCGACCAAAGAAATATGCGTTATTCAGTAGTAGTTTTTAAGTACGCCCTTTGAATAATTAACAAACAGGGTGAACGGTCTGAATATGCTAAAATTGAGAAACGATTCGATGGTACTGTGATTAAAGATGATGATCTTGTCGAAGAGATACACAAGAGAGACAAAAATGTCATAGATAAATCCAACGACGGAATCATGGATTACATCGTCGTCTACATAATGATGTTAAAAATAGTCCCTTTAATTCAGCGGCCGAAAAGTGCTATTAGCAGCATGGATCTATAAGAAGAAACAGTGCTGCCAAAGTGTGCGAAAAAAGATGTAATTTGTATTACGACAAGATTCGGCGAGACAAATTTGTGCGTAGATTTTTATTTTTAACTGATGATCGGACCAATATTTTCTTTTATCTTTGTTATTTCATGATCTTTCTCAATACTTTCGTTCCTCTTAGATAGATTATACGCTTTTTTTTGCATACGTTTACTCTGATCTAGATACACTCACAGGTTACTTGGGTCGAGACTTTTATCGAAATCAGTAACCCGACATATTTTTAATACAATACACGTTATTCATTACGCATATGCAGTATCGTTTACAAAATAACTACTACGACAGAGTCACTTCTAATGGATGTTTCAATAAAATGGGATTTGAATCTTATGTAGTAGATGTCGATATTTACTTTAACCGCGTGACATTCAAGAAAAAAATGCAACATATAGAAAAAAAATACATCTAGAATACTAAGTACACTGATTACATTTAATTAAATCGTAGATTATAATGATATGAGCGACACAATGTGGACATCACATTTACATGTATATTATGGATCTATTTTTATCATTATAACGGAACAAGTAGAAATTAAAATGCGTAATCATTGCAGAATTGTTAGCGCAATTTCCTGCGAGTTGTATCCTAATTTTTTGTTGAGGCATCCTACGTAAAGAGGAAACTTCATTACCGTAATATCTGTTTATATATGTACATAAGAAACGAGATAACCCGTACTCGGGTCAAATGAGTAAAAGTCACGAGTTCACCAAATGTCAAATCTGACTTAACATACTATATGCGTACGTCATCCTTCAAGCGAGGCATAATAAAAGCGAAACAACTTAATTGCCTGTGCTTTGCACAACCAAAAGATAATTCGTGGAGTAAAAAAGTCAATGGCATCTCGTGTTCGAGGAAACACAAAGACGGGCCATTTCTGAATAAAAAATAAACCTGTTGAAATTCGAAATACCGACTTTCTTTCTCGATCATTAAGAGAGTCTGACGTTAGCAACGTGGAAAGATAGCCTCTAATGAATTATTTCCAACATCTGCAAATAATATTCTACGAACTTCGTATGCGCAATGAAAGTGAGGATGATAGAGAGTGAAAGGGAGATATATATACAGAGAGTGAGAGAACATGATATGATAATTGTTATAGTCATTCATCAATGCAAACCAGACTTAGTTTATAATTATTTATAAGAAAGCGTATTTACATGCCAATATGTTTAATGCCTTTTTAAGACTCCTCTTGACTTACAGTGTAGCCTTCTCTCTGTTCGAATGTCGGTTTAGTAATCTATACGGTAAGACACTTTGTAGCATCCCTAGATATCGGCACGATAGCGAGGCTGCACTGTTTTTACGAGAGTATCGATTTGAGTGATTTATATTTCTTAGATATTAATGCGAAAATCAATATACGTATATAAGAAGATTATTAAGTTTAAATTATGTAAACGTACGCATGATTCAATGCAACGCTACAATAGACCACTTCAGTCAGAAAGATAAAGTAAAATATATCCGTGGTGTGTAAAACGATCTATCGCGATATTCGCGGGCGGCGATAATTATTTTCGAGAATGACTGTAACTCCAGCATGTTCTTAACAAAATAGTGGTCTGCAGTCGCGCGAATGTGAAAAACAAAACTTTGTACCACACTACCGTGCGTGTCGATAGGTGTAAGATTACTAATAATGACAACAACAATAACACTTATTATATTACGAATAATAATTTTTTGTGATTAAATCTCTGTATAAAACGTATAAGAAAGAATTCAATATATTGTAGCGGATAGAATTGTATGGTAGAAACGGAAGTGACCGAAGAGAGTGTATTTCTAAAAGTTATCATTTGCAAAGAGTATTTTTAAAGTATTTTCAATTATTTTTTAGTATTATATCAGGACACTCCCCCGAGAGACATGGTATAAGAGTACGCGTACACATGAAAATATACCACAACTTAATGAGATATAAATTCTAGCGTTCAATACGATGTCCCGACCTGTTGATTAAATACTGTGAAACAAATCAAAGGCTGGTCATTCTTTATTTAAACAGACCCTAACAACCACTCGTGCCACTCCTTACCGCAATAATCGGCTTTACAAGGGTTGCTCGTTCCGAAATCATACGTTTATCCATTTCACAGATAATAATATTTTGCTTCATTACGAAACGTCTTAGAATTTCATAAGAGACGTCGTTTGTCATGCGTTTCTCACACACGCGTTCCGTTTCCTCGATTCAGCATATATTGCATGTCAGCGCAAAAATTAGCATCATATGGTGAAACGACCGGTTGTCGGCGTGTTTGTAGAAAGCGGTTCCGCGGAAGACGATAGCAAACTACTTTTTCGTACTTACGTGTCGCCAATAAAAGAAGATATAGACGAAATTCCTTCGGGCAGCCTGTTTCATGTCGACGTTACAGTTTCTGTAAAAAATTATTTACATCGCAATTATTGTAAAAAATCGTGATTGAAAACTGAATCGTGAATTAAACGGTCATTAATTAGTAAAATAATATTCCTGAGAATGATTTAGTAATTGCTTAGACAGCACAAAACCTAAAACCGAGACATAAGACGTCTTTAAGACATGTTTAAGGCGTCTTATCGATGTCTTATGTTCCGGTTCTAGGTTTGCACTTAATTATTAGCATTGAAAGTTATAGAACTTGTCGATTAAGATCGCGAAAAGATTAATCCTGCTGTTTCACGAAAATTGATTGTTGAACGTTTATAAAATTGTAGCTAGATATTTCATCATAACATATATGCTCTACATGCTTTCCAGATAGCACAAAGTCTAAAACTGGGACATAAGACGTCTTTAAGACATCTTTAAGATGCTATACAGATATCTTATATCTTGTTTTAAGCTTTGTGCTATCTGAGTAGAGAGTATACGGACATATGTTATGATAAAGTATCTAGTTACAATTTTTTATTTAGAAACTCAATGTTCAATAATATTTTCATGAAACAGTAAGATTAATCTTTTCGCGATATTAAGCGGCAAATTCTGTAATTTTTAATGCTAAATGCAACGAGACGGACAACTAATGATAGTGAAATAAAACTTTAAATCCAGAGGAGAAAAATTTCTCATATATAATTATACATGGAATATGCTCATTGCATTCTCATATATAATTATATATGGAATTATATATGGATATATATATATAATAAAATATAATATATAATTACATCCAATTATATATGGAACATTTTCTTTCGAAGATATAAATAACGACGAATAGCATTTTCGAACCATTTTGATAACATTTGTCTCTTACCAAGTAATATATTCGTGTATTCAATGCTTAATATCTGATTTTCTGATCGCATATTTTCTGCGATATTCGCAGAATATCAATACCAAATAAAATATTAGATTAGACTAAACTATGCTTATATCTATCTTCAAATTGTTCGGCTTAAATTCGATTACAAGTGTCATGGCCGACTTTACTTTCTTCTTTTCTCGTTAACCGTTTCGCTAGGATAGATCTCCCAGCGACAAGTTAAAGATCGCTACCGATCGATAAATTCGATCAGTAGCGATCTTTAACTTGTCGCTGGGAGATCTATCCTAGCGAAACCGGCCATCAATATTCGCAGAAATGCGACGCAATCGAGCGCAATTACGACCATCTCTCGACGGCGTCCGTTACCTCACGACCTACAACCTAATATCCCTCATCTCACACATACACGAGACGCAAGGAGCGATCTTACGTATTCGCAAGGAGAGATTTTAAGAATACGCGAACGCGCGAAGGCATTCTTACCAGCACGACGCATGAAGCTGCGAAATATCGCGCGCCGTTGTTGTTCCGCGAGACTCAGCCGTGCGAGAATCTCCCTTTCCGCGAGGAACGACGGAATTCGAACGCTGCGCTACGCTCCGCATTGGCGGCGGTGGAGTCGCGAGTCGGCGCGGCGCGCATGCGTCCCCGGCCGCTATTGGCCGGCGCGACGGCGCTGTCATATGACGAAGCTGCGTGGCATGATGGGATCGCGGATCGCGATTTTGCAACATGGCGGTGAAGTGAGGCGAAGTCGCGGGTGCTGTGCCATCGGAAAATGTATTTTTCGTAGTCGCCCGTAGCGATCCCGTCGTACCTCGCAGTCACGCGACAGTGAAATACGTGTTCGGGTGGTGTCGGACGGCCGGCGGCGGGTGTAAATATGAGCGGAGCGGCCGGCAGCGCGGCAACCAAGGTGACACCCCGCGGCACCGTGCACTGCTCGGGCACGTATGGCAGGCACTAGCGAGATAAGGGAGCCCAGCTTTTGTCCGTACGAGCCGCGAGTCGCGAGAGCAGCTGCCGCCGTGTGCGGTGAGCCAGCAGCACCGACGAGTAGCAGCGCGATGTTGTGGCCAGCCCTGCCGAACTGTGAGAACGTGAGTGTCGTATTCCCACGGTGTTAAGCTCGCGGTCTTAACGCGGCGAGAGAGAGAGAGAGAGAGAGAGGGCGAGTGAGAGAGAGAGAGAGAGCGAGAGAGAGAGAGAGAGAACGCGAGAAATGGTGGTGCCTGTGCGGCGCGTGTGCCGACGACGACGGCGGCGATAGCGGTGGCTTTTGTGTCGTGGCCCGTAATTTCGGTAGCGGCTCAAGTGCGGATACATCCCGGGACATCCGCGCGCCGCCCGTCTCCTTCTTCCGGCGAGCTTCTTTCTCGTGGCGACGGTGGCGGCGGCGTGGCTCCCGCATACGCCTTCGAGATAAATCCCGACACTGTATGCGCCGGGCGCGTCTCGGCCGAGATCCCCTCGAGAAGGCGAATACGTAACTCTCGTGGGCCGAGCGATCCGCGCGCACCACCATTGTGCCCGAACACGTTTCGTCGATTCTCACCTGCCGGACAGCCGCACTCGGGCAGCACCTCGTCAGCTGCGACACCCGAACTCGTTGTCGTCGAAGGGAGACGACCGTCTCATCCGTGCGCTTCACCCGCATTCCGATGCCCGCCGCTCCTCGCTCTTGATGTTACCGATGTGCGAATGTTTCCTCCTCAAACATGCTCACCCTCATTTTGCACTCGCTTACCGATGTCCGAGAAGTTGATCTCTGGTCGGTCTCGGTAAACGTCGCTGTAACGATGCTCCAATAATACCGCACATGTCCACGGTGGTTAAAGCATCGCGGATGGCACCCCCTCCCCCCCCCCCCCCCCNCATGTACCATGTCGCGAATTTGTCAATGTTCATTGAATGATTCCTTTGAATGGATCCGTTGCTTGTTGACAAACTGTAAAAATACCCGTTCGCCTGTCAACTGCTTCAGCATTTGTACATGGTATCACTTTGTTCTCTCTCTCTCTCTCTCTCTCTCTCTTTCTCTCTCTCTCTCTCCCCTCCTCCATCTCACTTATATGTGTTTGACAATGTAATTTAAATCGGAGGTATCATACGCGTGCAACAAGATTAAAATTTGTAAAATTCCGTTTCGAAATTCTCCTGTGATCTTCATTCATTGACGATAAGTGCCATAAGTTGTACATAACACATCACCTCTGTTGTAACTTGAATTTGCTTTCGCTCGATTGTATACAACATACACTGATATGTGATCTGCTATTTCTATAACAGTGTGTTTATATTTTGTATACTTCTAATTCAATATATGTGTACTATTGGAGGTACTTTTAGATGTTGTGACAGTACCGATAAGAAATATCTCAAATGCGTCGAATGTATATATTTACACACACACAAATATATATATATACACACGTATACATACCCGTAAGTGTATCTGCATTTCAACTAAATTCGAGAGTTACTGGAATATTGCGAATGATTTTTGCATACCTTCCGTGAAATGAGGTCGCAGCTGCACCCAAATAATCTCATTTGCATACAATGAGGTGTTCCAAATGCTTTCAAGTACTTACAGTTTGCGGTGCATTCAATTTTAAAAATACTTAACACACTTGTTGCAATCGTATTCAGCTGAATATCGAATATGTAAAGGAATACATTATATGTTCGTATCTACATTGCTATGAATTCATATCTACATTGCAAGTTCATATCTATATTGCTATGAATAATAATATAAATAGGCATGTAATTTATATCCCGACCCTGAACCAGATATGTACGGTGCCCGTGTGACTTACCTGTAAATTCGTTCTGTACTTTCAGATATACGCGAGAAATAGAAGTTTCATCGGTCACTGTGATTTCTGATCGTGCATGCGTGCCAAACACGAAGATATAAGAGGGCGTTAAGAAGATCCAATGGTTTCCTGACATGATGGAGGGCAAGTTATATGTGAAGAATGAGCCGGGACTTGAAGGGCAATCACTCGCAAATCCTCAGCCCAATCCGTCCGCCGAGGACGGAGTAGGAGCTAGGATTTGCTTCGTCTGCGGCGCCGTCGGCCACAGCGAGCACTATTGGCTACGAGTGAAACCAAGCCCTGGTGGCGCGCCAAACGAACCCTACTTCCCGTTTCTCGAGTCGCACGAGCCGCCGAGCGGCTACCGTGGCGAGGGTGCCAGGACCGGTGCCGTCAAAGCGTGCAGTCTCTGCTACACTTTGCTGCTGCAACAATGGGAGAGCTACGAGCAAGACGCCAGGCCTCACAGTCAGCGTATTTATTGGCTGAAGAGATGCGATGGCGGCCCCTTCACGGGGGCCGAGATGGCACTCCAGGGCGAATACGCCGCGCAGGTCCTGGGTTTGACGAACGATCAAACACCGCAGATGAGAGGGCAGGACGCCCGGCCGGTCGGCATCTCTCCGCGATTGCCACCGAACTCACCCTCGCCGAGAGTCGAGCAAACTAGACCGCCGTCGAATTCGGTCGAATTGCCGAGGCCACACTCGAACACAGCGGAAACGCATAGGCACTTGGAACAAGCGAGGCTCACCATGGAATCTCCCCACCAGAGATTGCACTCACCTCACCAAAGGTTGCAAAGTCCACGGCAGCCCGTCGAAGACACCAGAATATCCAATGAGGCGGCGTTGGATCTGAGACATGCACCTAGGAGCTCACCTGCACCACAACCTACCTTACCACCACAACCGCAAGGTTACGATTTGTTTTTAGTTGTTTTTCAATTATTACGTTAGAAATTCTTCGCTTTTTACATCTCTTTAGTTAAAATATTTGGCAGTTCGAAGATAGTTTCTATGCTGTTGTTCTTATTGTTATTATTTAGACAAAGGATGCCGAAATTCGCAGTTTAGAAAATTTAAAAGAACAAGAGGTAAACGGATAAGTTCAACAATAAAATTCACGATGCCAACTTCAAGTTAAGAGAGGTTCTTCTGGAATAGAAAATACCCGAGCACAGATAAAAGATAAACTTAAAACTGCAACGGAAGAAATAGTTGGGGAAAAACATATTAGACAAAATTATTAGTTTAATGAAGAATGCAGTACAGTCACGAAAAAAACCAAACATATATGAAAATGCAAATTAGTTTCTATGCTGTAATAAACCTGAATTTAAGGCGGTATTTATAGTCAGAATATATATTTAAGACCATCTTAAGTTCATCTTCAGATGTTGTATGAGTTGTTTCACTTGATTATGAAGCATTTAGAGATGAATCTGAGTCAGTCGTAAATATAAGATTTGCCTTAATTTATCCTTGAAATATTCATTGAAAAGAAAAGAAAAAAATATATTTATATTTCCGCACTTCTCTATTAAAAGAGATTTGTTTACTTTTTTTCTTTTTTCTTGTAATTCGATGATTTATATAATAAATCGTTTGGCATTGTCAATAAATTTGCTCAGACAACGATATTGTTACATCAATAAACACCAGTCGATCTTTGAACAAATGTATAGAGTATAATGGGGACGACCGTGCCTCAGAATCTTTCTAATTATTAAATTGACCCGGGCGAGTTTAATTGGATCTTTATCTGAGGTCAACCCACCGTCTTTACTCGTAATTTCAAGGGAATCAAAGAATGTTCTGTTCGTTATACAGAGAAAGCAACGCTCTCAGTTTAGGAATGTATACTTGGCTCGTTACGAAGAATATTTAATGCAGTCGGCGTCATGTATGCTATTCCATTTCCTAGACGGAAAGTTTTACGATTTTTAGCCTCACACGCATAATGCATAAGATTGTAAATCGCAGAAGTAACTCTAGTTATAACAGTAGGCTTTAACTATAATAGTTTCGACCTTACGTGTACATGTCAAAAACTAAAAATTGCGTAACATGGAAAAAATTTCAATCTAGGAAACGGTACAGCATATATGACGCCGACTGTACAAGGATAATTGCGATGCAACACACAACGAATGAAAAACACTTTGCGGGAAACAAGAAAAAAAAAACGATTGTCGCATACGTCTGTATTCTAATACTTCTAACGCCGGATGTTCGCAATATGTACTGACGAAATAGCCGACGCGAAATCGCTAAGTGCTATCTGATAAGAGTAAAAACCGTATTTCACCGCTGTTACTAGTTATCTCCCGTCAGAATGTGTACGCGGTAAATATACGATTCGGGTCGCTATTTACGCTGGCCTTAGTCCTTTCGTGCACCGATGTAAACGTTCGAAAGTAAAGGTTAACAGTTCTGCAGATAAGACCGTGGAAGTCGTTGCAGAACGACGAGCCGACCGTCCGATTCACTTGACGCGCACATCCGATCTGAGGCGCGGCGATTCCATGCTTTTCCTCCTGCTCACGCCGCGGTTCGAGTGTCGAGCTTCGATGACCTTTACAATTTCGATTCGTCCGATCCGATATTCATTAGTCAGCGCGCCCCGCAGATAACCAGGTCGTCGTTTTAAAATGGAACTATTAAAACATTTTGATCGCGTCGTCAACTGCGACTAGAACTCTCTCTCTCTCTCTTTCTCTCTATCCGTTGCTCTGTACTCGTAGCCGATAAACTCGCGAAAAAGTGCAGGCTCTAAGTGGGCCACGTGCGGCGCGGCGCGATGATAATGCCGAAGGCGTGCTAGGAAATGCCCAGTTGTTGTATTCGCGGATTTTACGTCGCCGTCTCGATTCGACAATGACCGCGTGCGATGCATAACCGATCGTCTCTCGCACTTGCAATTGCAGCTATTTATAGCGGTGGATCGTCGTCCAGCGTCGGCACGGACATCTTGGATCTCTCGATGCCGGACAAGAACTCGGCCACGGAGGTCTGTTACGTGTGCGGAGACGAGTTCAAGAGAGGATCCCTCAGTCACATCGCAGCGAAGCCACTGCCAAGCCTGCCGCATCCTTCTGCCAGTCCTCCGCCGTTCTTTCCGTCATTGATGCTTCATCCCAGGCCAAGTAGGAGTCGACCTATGGACAGTGCCGGTCGAGTGCAGGTATATTCCCCGACACAAAGCCGATATTTTCTGATAAATATTATACTCTCTAGATGTTTGAGGTGGAATCTCGTTCAAAACGGGCGAAAAGTGGCAGTGTTTTCACTCGAAGCGACGGTGAAAATACCGCCACTCGAAATCAGCAAGAGTGAACGTTTCACTTAAGTTCTGAGTGAATTCCGATTCTATATGAGCGAATGTTTCAATCGATTGGAAGAGAATATCTTCCTGTGACGATGAAGTTACGTCAAACTCTTCAATTTCGAATGAAAATATTCATTCGACGATTCAGGGTGGAGAATACGAGCGAAAAATCACTCGACTTCGAGTGACTCGGTGGTCGCTCTAACTTTCGAGTGAGATTTTACCCCAGAAATTTGGAGAGTATTCTTATTATCATTGTTATTATTGTTATACACTTGCCGATGCGTGTTTCCGACACGCTTCGTCGCCTCTCTGAAATCAATGTAACAGTTCACGTGTGGATTTTCAGGCCTGCTCAACGTGCCAGAATGACCTTTTATTACAATGGAAAACGTACAAGCAGCGGGGAACACCGCACGGTGAGAGAAACTATATGCTTCGCAAGCGGCAAGCACCTGCGACGGACACAACCACGTTTATCTGCTATACTTGCGCTCTCGAGTACCCTTCATCCAGTATTAGACTTATGTATTGCTGTGCTAATCCCGAGAAGGAGGCGTACTTCCCCTTTATTTGTAATCTGAGACCTCCACAAGGAGCTAGTCCTATTAGTCCTCAGGGAATGGTGCAAGTTTGCTCCATTTGTTATAAAGCTATCCCGCAGAAGCAGCAAGTGTTCGGCGGAGAAAATCACGAAGTGCAGCCAGCCGGGCAGAGTACGGATTTTCGTCAGCAAGGTTAGCTTGATTCTAACGAATATCTGCGAGAGTTTATTTCGCCTTTTATACGGGCGCTTCATCCTGAACGGATTGGACGTGTTCACCGCAGGTCCTTCGCCACGGCCCGCTGTTCCGAAATCTCCAGCTAATTCAGCCGGTAGCGATATTCGCTTCAAGCCATACGACTTAAACAAGTCAACGGTCGCTGCCAACAAGCCGCGCAGCACTACCGCGAAAGCGCCCGCGCCTGGGCAACGAAATTCACCTAGCAACGGCCCCGCGGAAAATGGGACCGTCGTACTTGGCCAAAATTATAGGTGCTATATTTGCGAGAGATTGTATCCACGTACTCACATGGAGTGGTAAGTTTACTCTCTACTTAGCGAAGCCCGCCGAGATCACAGTCGACGTCACTTCACCGCAAGATATCACTGATATCACCTTTTGTCCTCAGGTTATCTACGAGCCCGGAAGGAATGAATTCACACGCCATGCATTTTCCTTGCTTAAGAGGAATGGTACGCACGTCGGAAAATGCCTGCATGGACAGCCACGGTAGGGTATTAGCGTGTAGTCACTGCGTGAATCATCTTGCGCAACAGTGGGAAAGTATGGATGCCGAACGGGTTCCTTTAGAACGCCGCAGGTTAGTACGCCGCGAATTATATTAGCTGTGTACCTCTTAAATGTTGTGCATGCATTACGCGAGTTAATAGCAAAACGAGACGCGTCTTAGTCTCGAGCGAAATGACTTCCGCGATATAATAATTTACGACTCGGTGTTACGCTTTTGCGTACAAAACGATTGACAGCCGTTCACACTCTCCTTTGAGCAATTCAGGTGTGCGTGATTACTCAATTCGAGCAGGCGCCACTTTCATTAACACTTTGCGGGCCGCTGTCACGCTGGCGTGACTTTTGTTCGCCAACGGTTATCGGCCGCTATCACGCTGGCGTGATGGTTTGATCAGGAAACATTGTTTTCAACTGTTTTCCTCTCCCAATTCAACAGACTGTCTATTATTAAAATCTTTTTTCGCGGACGCTTGTTTTGTCAGTTTGAGATTTCGCTACCTTCAGATATAGGAAACTTACGTTAGATATCCCTCAAAATGCCAATACTAATATAATTGGAATAAAAATAGTGTAACAGTTATTTTAGTGCCTTCTTTAATAATAATTATATACCAACTACTTATGTATCGAAAAATTGCGTAAATATCACCGTTGGCGAGCAGTAGAATCTGCGTGAATCTCGCCGGCGGCAGCGTAACGGCGCTTCGATAAATGCGCGGCCCGCAAAGTGTTAAGTTTGCATTCTTATTGAATGCTAGCTTAAACTACCCGGGCTTCTTATATTTACGTCAACATTTGTGGAAATGTGATCAATCGAACAATAACTTTGAAATTAATTCATAGTGATACATAATTAATGTAACCTATATTTTCCTCAGGGTCCTAGAGACAGGGTTGCTACAGACTTGGAAAGCCGGGAAAACTGGGAAAAGTCGTGGAAATTTAAAATGTCAAGAAAAACCTGGAATTTTCAATTTTGCTCACAATTTTCTTAAATGCTCTCAACTGTATTCTTTTTCCCACATTCCTTTATTTTTCGTTGGCCTAAATTTATATTCAGAATTATATTGTTACTAAACTTTTACGTTGTTTCTAATAATAAGGAATTTCAAAATTTATTTTCTGTGGCAACCCTATAGAGAATAACTGTGCAAAATTTGATCTAGGGCAATTAAAAAATGTAGGATCGTGTAAAGAACAGAAATACATTTTATTCTATACATATATAGGTTTAAACTGAAATATATATTATCACAAAGTGTCAAGGAGGTAAAATCAATGGGAGAGGATTGGATGTCTAGGTTTTATGTACCCTATATTTTCCAAGGGGTACTAGAGAGTAGCTATATAAAATTTGGTTCAAATCGGTCAAAGGATGCGTAGGAATATAGAGAACAAACAGATAATATATATCTATGTATATATATATAGATTACGAGACTAATATTATAACGTTCGCGATATTTGTGAAATTTCAGGTACGATATTCCTAGTCCACATCCAAATGGCGACGTGAACCGGTCGATCGCTACGCCGCCGAGCTCCAGCTCGGATCGAACGTTCGGAAGCAATCCGGGCACGTCGAGCAGCTCGATCTATTGTTTCTTGTGCGGTTTACACAGTGACTTGACCCTAGCTCGAGTCTTGTACGGTCGTCCGCAGGGCCGGAACGCGCCGTTTTTTCCGGAACTGTTGCGTCATCAATCTCCGCCGAACGCCGAACAGCTGCGCGACGATGGCTCCGCGCTGGTGTGCACCTTCTGTTATCATTCGCTGTTGGCGCAATGGCGTCGATACGAATCTCTATCCGGTGGTCAGCAAGTGAACGCCGCTGAGCGGCAGTACAACACCCACGACTATTGCTGCTACGTATGCGGCATCACGACGTACCGGAAGCGAGTGCGAGCCTTGCCGGTCAAGGATTTCCCGTTCTTGAGGTATCACAGGCAGCCGGAGAAGAGCCTGCTGCTGGAGAACGGCGACTTTGCCGTGGTCTGCTTGGACTGCTATGAGACCCTACGCACACAAAGTCTCGAGTACGAGAGATGGGGCTTGCCCGTCGAGAAGCGGGAATACAATTGGATCGTGCAGCCTCCGCCGCCCGAGGACAGCCCCGATGCTGCCATAGCCAGGTTACCGTCCGGCGAGAGATCCGAGAAAGTGGTGAGTGCATGTGTAAACAGCCGATGCGTGCGCACGTAATGGACGATAAAGTCTGTTATGCACCAACACGGTCAGGTTACTGCATTTATTTGCTTATCTCCGACAGGTTCCGCCGACTTTAACGGTCAGGCCAGCGCGCAAGAATTGTTCACCAAAGGCTCCCGATAAGAAGATACCGACGAAAATACCGGAGAAAGAACAAGGTAAGTGGCAATCAAATCTCGATTGAAGCGCGCTTGCCGTGCAGTGAATGAGATTTGTGCATATATATATTTAAAAATTTATATATAAATATAATTTTATACATGTATTTTTTATACTTGATATAAGTACCTTCTAGATAGTGATTTAAATATCTTCTTGATTCTTCTCAAGTTCCAGTAAAGAGTGAAAACTGAAAGTCGAGATTATCGAGTTATTTTAGCCTTAGTTTATCATGGACTTGAAGCGTTTTTAAGAGTAAACTCTGCGAGTTTTAAACTTTTCTCGTCTCACTGCACGGTAATGCACCTACCTAGTAGTTCTTAATTAAAGGATCAACAAGAACTCTTGGGAAGTGTTTCCTCCTGACCTGACGTAGTTGAAGTGTACTTCTGCTAGATAATGCTAACTTGACTTACCTAAACCGTACTTTTTAAGTTAAAACGATCCCGCGCTGCGAAATCGCGCGCCGAACGTCTAATTCTCCGTTGAACCCTCACGTTCTAAAACGTCTTTTGGTCGCGCATCTAATTATAGAATCTTGCGCGAATCACACATTGCTGCAAGTGCTGCGGCCGTGCAGCGATCTCTCTCAAGCACCGTGGAAGATTTCTCTCTGTATCGGCTTTTATTAGATTTGCTCAGTTTATCTATGCTAGTATATCTCGCTATCGTTAATCTCCGCTTAAGGACACGCACGCAGCTTCGAGATTTTAGTTTCATGTTTATCATCTTCTGTCCGGGAATTTTCCCCCGTAAAAGCTGAACGCCTGCGTAAGTTCTCACGAGTTTGCCTTATCGATCGTAATATTTGATATGACATCGTAAAACGCGAAGATTACCTTTTCGACGACCAAAGTACACAGTTAGTTCTCGACTTTAATTAATTCGTTGATGATAGCCGTGCATCTTCCGCATTTTCGCACGCCCGGCAGATATTATATCTTCAAAATGAATCCGTCTAAAATAAGGTGGATATTCTAGCGATCGATGGTGAAACGAACATCAACGCCTTTTAATCTTATTTCGCGCGGCACGTTTGAAAAGTTGCAAATATATACATACATACACGCACACACATACATACGTAAAAACACGCACACATCGTATTTGCACAAAGACTCGGCGGGACGGGGAAGGTACGATGGAAGGCGAGCGAGAGGGTGAATGGATGAAACGTGAGAGTGGTGCTCTTAAAAATCCGACAGACAAAAGCGGACTGACGGTGGAGAGCTATCCGAATAGGGTGGTGATGGTTTGCGTTCGAGCGAGTTTTCGTTATCTTTTTCACCTTCCGATTTTCTCTCATTATTCCTCTCTTTCTTTCGCTCGTTTATATTCTTCTTTTTTCCCCTCACCTTTCCACGGATCTTTCCCGATGTCTCGAGTTACGAACAGTAGAATATCCTCCATGGTGAAACGTCTTCCATCGCTCGATTTCGCAAATATCTCTCATACACGCTCGATAATTAAGTCTTCCACTTCGGCGGTTTTTTTTTCCATAGATAACCCAAAGCGGTGCGACCGATTTTATCTTCTGTTCTGGAATCAGTTCTTGGTTATCATCATGGCCAGGCGCTCAATTGTCCTGCACGAAAAAGTATGAGTCGGTCGGAAACACAATGTTAACTAACAATTGGATGTTATCCGATAACAACTATTGAATGCTACGAGTGACATTTTCGATACGTACCGTGCAATTATCCTGATAATTTGACCAATTTCGTCGATCTGGAATATTTTGAGAGCATCGATCATTGTGATTTCTCGGCCACCGAAAGTATCAGTCAATCATAGACGGACGATGATCGACAAAAAATGCCTAAATTTGTTTTCTTTTGCCGGTTATTTTAGTAGTTTCATTCGACGCATAGTTGTTCGTAATCGAGTCATTACGTTTCGAGCCAGCGCGATGCGGAGTACGTGTGTCGCGGCGCTGTTTGTTAATTTGCTGTTTGACCGGTGTTTTTATTACACAAAACATTTCCGATTTTAATGGATGTTTGACAAAATCACCGTAAATATAGCGAGACATATATCCGAGTAAAAATTTAGAATATACTTTAAAATCGCCATTAACAGTCCGTCAACGTTTGATAAATAATCTCTTCGTGAATCTCTGAAATTCATTATTGAATTATTCATTGATAATTCATTATTGGATTATTTTCTGATTACTCATTTTTTTCAACTTATGGTACTAATTTCATACAACAAAAAATATCGATCTAGGCGGTTGAATTACGATCCATGAGTACGTAGTTAATTATGCTCGATCAAAAACCGCAAATAACTTACAGCTGTGAGTACCGACCTAAATATCAAGCACCCGAGATTTGTTTCTCCAGTAATGTTTCCCGAAACGCAAATTTTATCTTGAATCTGCCAACGCCTTTTCACTTCCGTTTCGGCTTGTGCTCTATTGTACCGTACTGACCTCCGGGAGTAGTGGTTATGCAAATGTTCATACGTTCGGGCGTTTCATACTTATTCGTTATTATTACTCGTTTAAATCTTGTCGTTGCGACGCGAAGAGGTAAATTCGCACACGAGAATATCACGCACGATGGCGTATTTCCTTGCCTCTTTAATCCACTGACACGACGCGACCGTGCGTTCGCCCGAGAAAAGCCCTCTCACCGCGAAAGGTTCCCTTGCGGCTTTGTTGCTGTTAGTCTGTAACACTTTCGCGTCGTTCTCTTCCTTTTTCGTCCTGACTTACCGGCGGTGTGCACGCCCCTATAGCGAAGGAAGGCACGTCTCTTCGAGTTTACGCCGTTGGACGCGTGAGACCACCGTGCAAACCTGCCATTTAGGAGTCGTAAACTTGCACTCGAGCAGGCCGTTGAAGTCGCTTTTTTAATCCGGCCAAGACAAGCTGGTAAAAAATATATTAACCAAATGACCTTTCTGTACAGGGTGTCCCAACATCAGGACATTCTCTTTCTTAGCTGCAGATTCTTCAATCGTTTCGGTCTTGATCTATTTCGATAGGGAAAAAACAAATAATTACATCCCAAAAATGTCGTAATTATCTCAAGTGCGCAGAAAATTTATCGCGAAGTAAATAGCACGTTTTTACTTTTTGAAACACTGTTCTACCGTACTGTCTTCTTCCAATTTCGCGCTCCACTTATTTGTGACACGAAATACACCGGAAATCTTGCAGTTTAATATATCAGATGCTTTAATACCACCGGAATCCCTCCTTTTCACCCCTCGCGCATCCAAATGCACGTGCATGGCTCTTCCGAGGCGCTTAAGTATCATTATCGCGGTCATAACGTCCGCTCGTGGAAAATCGTTCTTGATAAAAGGGCGACCGATTCTCTCTCCGATTCCGGATTTCCGTTCCGCGAGACTTTTATACTGCGGTACCCTGTATGAGCGAACAGTATGTCCGCTGTTGTCGAAAAGGCACTTGTGTGTTGTCACGTTCTCAATGTCTATAATTTACCGTGCATTGCCGAAAATTACAACGTACGCAAAATAATGCCATTTTAATTATTTGTAATGCGGACACACCACAGATTTTCATACATTTTTCTGAATAATAGACGCGTTTCTGGCGAACAACTGTGGGCATTGTTTTGTCAAAACCGGAACGAATCTTGCTTCATTGAACTTTAATCGGATGCCGACTTTTCGCAATTTACGAAATTCCCGCTTTAAGCGTGTTAACGATTCACCCCCGCGACGCATTTAACCCTTATCGGACGCTAGCTTTTTATGCGTGATTCTCACTAGGTTGTAGCTGGTTCGGTAAATATGCGAACTTGTCACCTCCTACGTGACGTACGACCGCAGCGACGAAGTATTGTTGTCACGTGAGAGGTGACTTACGACCGATAGGGGTTAAAATCAATACGTTATTAACTTCTTAACATATTTTTGCGGTGCGTGCAAATGCGCTTCGAACTCATCGACTTCTTCGTTCAATTTCGATGGATCTACATTCCCAAGCGTCCGTGACAACGCGTCGTACGAATATCTAAATCCGTGGTAGGAATTCAGCGCGGCTGGCGCGACCGTAAATTGCGACGACGAGAGTTGTCGCGACACGGAGAGTCATGAAAGGGTAAAAAAAGAAAACGTGGAAGTCGTCCGTAACTCCGAGTATCGCGTTCTCTCCGAGACGAGGGGCAAGGCGTGCGAGCGAGCGAGCAAGAGAGAGAGAGAGAGAGAGACGGGGGAGGAAGTGCACGCAAGTATAATACGATCGTCGAGATCAGGAGGTCGATTAAGGTCGGTCGATCTAGCTTAGAAGGTACCGGGGGTGGTTCGAGGTGTCGGGTGGGACTTAGCGGAGGGCTTAGCGGGTGAGAAGCTTGCGCTCGCTCGCGGACGGAGCAAAAGGGGGCGAAGCGAAGGTGGAGTACGTCAGGTGAGGAAGTGTGCAGGGGGTGGAATGGAAGCAGCGACGGTGGCACCGGCAGGTCGGGGGGAGGGGGGGGGGGGTTGAAGGAGAAAGAGCAAACGCCCGCAGCGTGACACCGCATTGCGCCCACTTGCCAACCCGCCCAACACCTAAATTCGAATTAGGGAGCCAGCCCCGTCGTTTCTCGTCAACACGCCTGCCGCCTCTCTCCTCCCGACTCATCCTCACTCCTCCCCTCTGCCTCACCCTCGCTGCCCATCGACCGTCTTCGCGGTAAACGTACGGGGGTGAGATGTCAGCCCTCTCACCCCGTCTGCGTACACAACGTCCATCTGCGACCCTCTTCGAGTCTCTCTTACTTGCGGAGAGAGCAATCAGCGGGGGAGAGCCTGATGTTTGTGTCTGTGTGTGCGCGTGCGCCCACTCGCGTGTTGTATATGTATCCGTGCCGCTCTGTCGTCTTCTTGCCGGAATCGATATCAACGTCATCGACTACCTCTCGCGCGCGCTCCTTATCCCCTCGATAACATGCCGCGTCGGAGCCGCTCGCCCCTTCCCAGTCAGGCACGCGGCCAAAAGGCTCGATTTCGCTCGTCGCCGTCGTGGAATCGGTGCCAAGGCGCG